CATTTAAACAAGAGGAATAGCCCAAGGAGTTCTATTATCCCATCCAGTTTATGATCTACATAAGCATTTAAACAAGAGGAATAGTCCAAGGGGTTCTATTATCCCATCCAGTTTATGATCTACATAAGCATTTAAACAAGAGGAATAGTCCAAGGGGTTCTATTATCCCATCCAGTTTATGATCTACATTTTATGATATTTACAACTGTCATATAATTAGTTTAATATTTTTAAACATATCTTATTTCTGTAAACTATGTTATACTAAATCCTATATAATTAAAAATGTTCTAAATCGTTTAGTTTAAACCTTTTTTTTAATTTCTAATTATAATATAGTTTGTTAATTTTCTTAAGCTCAACTTATTATTATATTATCATTCTTTATAAAGATAAATGTTAATCTATGGCTATAAGAATAAAAATTTGGATTAATTTATAATTTGAAGTTTGACCTTGGGGATTTAAATAAGTAAAGAACTTTAGGTGAAATATTATTTTGTTATTTAAGATTATGATAAAACTCATTTATCCTGACTAGTCACTATACATTACAATAAGAAAAATCCAAAATATATAATTAATATTGATTACAAATAATTTTGTACGTTCTATTTATTTATTTGTATTTATTGAATAATTGTTCTCACTCTTTGTGAGACCCCCGTTCCCTCCCTCTCCCTCATTTCCTCCTTCTCTCATTCTTTTCCCCTCACTCATTCCCTTTCTCTCAAATTCTCGGTGGTGAATCTTGGTGACCCTAGGTGCTAGTGGCAGGAGAACGGATTCCTTGTCCGAGAGCTGAGTCCGCAAGCTTGTTCTTCCCCCTTTGTTCAAGCTCCTTTTCGTTCTTCTTCTCCATTCAAGTTTCCGGAGCTCGAAATTCTGGATTTAAGGTAAGGGAAGCTAGTTTTCTTTTGGTTTTGCTTGGCTGAAACGAGTTCTATGGACTCTTGTGGCTGATGATGATGGATTATGTTGGCTGAGTTGCTGGACATTTGGGGCTTTGGGGTTTTTGGAGTCTTGAGTCAAAAATTTGGATTTTTGCTTTGTTTTGTTGTTGCATGCACATAAAGCTGGTATCTTGGAACTCCTTGATGAAAATGTGACATCTTGAGTGTTTGAAAGATTTACATTTTTGGGGTTTTGGGGTCTGATGAAAATTTGGAGCTTTTGGTTTTCTTGATGGGAAGTTGAACATTAATATTTTTTGAAATTGGGTGCATGCATGTGGAATTTCGGGTGTTTTCTAAGTTATATGAACAAAATGAGTAGAGATTTCGTAGGTAGATCATGTTTTGGAGTAAATCATGATAGATTATAGCTGGAAAATGAAGAGGGAAGCCATGGAAGTGTAGAACCTCTGCACTTGGAGCTGAAGCGCTAAAGAGAGCCATAAACTGGAAGAGAAATGAAGGGGGACCGAGACCTGAAGCTGCAGCTCTGAGTTGGGCGCTGCAGCCTTGGAGAAATTAAATTTGGCTGAGAGTTTGAGCTGCAGCCCCGAATTGGGCGCTACAGCCCCAGAAAGCCCAGGAGAAAAGTGAACTGGCCGAAAGTTGCAGCTAAAGCGCTAGATTGAGCGCTGCAGCGCTGGGCCTAGATGACCGAATTTGGTCTCAAGGTCTTCATGGAAGTTGTAGCCTTGGATGTTAGCTTTCCAATAGCATTGGAATCACTCGAAAAGGAGTTTTAGAACTCCAGATATGGCCGTTTTAGTGAAGAGGGGTCAAGCTGTCAGCATTACTTGTAGCTGTTGCGGTTTTTTTTGGATTTTTAACAAGGTAGATGAAGGATTTGAGACTTGGTGTCTTCATGAGAGTTGTAGGAAATTTTATTATCTTTCATATGAGATAAGGATAAGCATGGTAGGAGTAGTATAACTCCCGATGCGCTGTTTGTTGTGATGATTGCCATTTCACATTTAGTGATTTGGTTAAGTGGAAAGTTGTTTTAGGTACTTAGGTGTACTCTTGTTGTTGGGTGAGTAATTTGACAAGATGGTTGGGTCAAATTAGGTGTTGTTATGTTGATTTAAGCTGATAAAATGATGAACATGTTTAGCTGTACTAGATGTATACTGTTGAGTTGAAATATATGCAATTAGTAAACCTGTTAAATGGTTGTGCCGTGTTGTATCATGTTGAGCTGTGTTATGCCATACTATACTATGCCAAATAGTGTGGTACTGTAGCCGTTAAGTCGGTGTTGTTGTTTGTCACATACGTGGTGCTGTAATAACCGCTAGCTGGTGCTGATGTGTGCCTAAGTGAGAGGCCATTCTAACCACTTGAAGTGGTGTTGTTGTTGTGCTGTTGCTGCTACTAAGCAGTGTTGATGTAACCGCATCGCGGTGCTGATGTTGTTGAGCAGTATGAGTTGTACAGATGTGCTGATAATTATAGCGATGAATTTAATTACCTTATTATGCCTTTGCTGATATGTTTTGATTTTAAAGAATACTAGCTTACCCTTTGTTGTTTTCCATGTTGTTGGACTGCGATGATCATACTATGTATGGGAGCAGAACAGGATTAGGTGGGCGTCCTGGGATGAGTCTCCGGTGGACCTTGGAGCTGTTATGCTTGTGTGGATATTTTGATTGTAGCTACTTGGAATAGTAGCATTCGGTTGTAATTTTCTTTGGTGCACTTTAACCCTAGTCAGACCAGAACTTAGTATATTTATATATTCTAGATCATATATTTATATACTTGTTCTATCTGTCTGGAGTTTCTAGTGTGCGATGCCGTGTGTAGTGACTAGCCGGGTCGTTACACTCTTTATTTTTCTTTGTTTTAAAATTAAATTTATTATAATGCAAATAGATGGATCTTCTTGACATACCTGACCCTTTTACTTCAGTTATATCGATTGTATTCTCTAGAATGAATTAGAGCATCGATAGAGTTGCCAATTCAGTTACTTTTCATGGCATAAGACTATCAACTTTTATATTCTCTCTAAACAAGGAAATTCCCACTGTTGTATGACCCTATAGTAGTTACCTTTTATCTACTCCAGTCAATCATGTCAATCCAATAACAAATTTATTTCAACCTAATATGTAATCATTATTGTAGAAATGTAAAAATAAATAATTTGTAAATAAGTACGTTATTGTAAATATTTTAAAATAGTA